AGAGAGAGTTTTATTTAAATATTAGGCAGAACCTGACTGTAGCCACATCATATTCCCTTTTAATAGTTCACGTTTGAGTTTCCTCTATTGCATTTATTCTTTGATTTTTGGTTATTTTTTTAAAAGAAAGTCTCATCAATTAGGCATAAAATGATTCAGTACCAATAAAGACAACAGTAGCACTAAGAGTGACTGACCATGACTGCATCGTGTAATATTTAGGTGCGGTTTAACTCACAGCGAGGCCTTTCAGCATTCAACTGGTATTTTTGCAAGTTAATAAAGACAAGCTGGAACACCGCCAGAGCGATGTGTACCACACCTCACTTCTCACTACCACTCCAGCACCAGGGCTTGGCCTCCTGCTCCAGCCCTCCCCCACAGGCCTAGCTAAGCCTGCATGTTATTGGCAAAACACAGCCAGCTGCAGCCAGTTAACTGTCTAATCTCACATCAATCGATTTCCCCAAACAAGGAGCGGTAGAGAAGTGTAACGAAAGTCATGGAGCGGGGCTGAAAACAGAGCAGAGGGTGAGAATAAAGTGAGCGAGAACAGGCAGTTTATAGCCCTTCACTGAGCTTCCAGCACCGCTGGCCTTCGCGTGTATATGTGCGTATTGATGCGATCTTTTGTACGAGAACAAGACATTCCTGATCGAAGCAACACGCAGGAAGGGCGGAAGGACGGGTCGCAGCTGGCGCAAAGGCCAACAGGGCCAGCACGCATTCGTCCGACACCACCAGCAACAGCTTTTGCACGCCGATTAATGCCCCAAACTCTCTCGTCTCCCTTTGTCATGTGTCTTGTGTGTAGAAATGCGATCCATTTACTCCCTCTTGGACAATTAAATGAGAACATTTTCAAAATGAGAAACATATGGAGCTTTTTAATTGTCCAATTTCTCTTGCCAACATGTGTGGGCTTTTTTTCCCATTCTAAAAACCAGTGAAAAGGAAAAAAAAAAAACGCTATCCAGTGAGACATGCATATTGCAGCACAGAGTGTTGCACAAATTGTCATTGTCCTTCCGCAAGAAGTAAAAACAGCCCGTCTGTTCCCTGGATTAATAGCGTCATTATTGAGAATCCATGTTCAGGATACAGGACTGTACTGCTGCATCCTGTCAGCCAGACTTGGGAAATTTGTATCTCTGTGGGAATCTGTGTTTTTCCTAGCAGGTAATGATGCACGCCGATGTACACGACTGGCTGAAACCGCAGGGAGAATTTCACCTTCCCGCCCTATCACCTTACACCACACCCGTGTGTGATCTTGACTTCCTGCTTCCTTCCCCTGACCCTGCACGAATCATGTGAGGTCGCTGGGGTGCGAGGGACCCCAACAACTCATATCTGGGGAGTTATTGTTCTACACATGTCATGTGTAATCTGCCCGACCCGCAGCGCTTAGAATAATTATTCATATTTAATCACCGCAGTACAAAGCTACATCGCCTGCCGCTCACTAAGTCATTTTCCATGTTACATTATCAAAGTTTCAGAGATGGGTGCTCGAGGAAGGGGACTAAATGGAGAAGCTGAAGTAGTTGGGCTTATAAAAACATAATGGGCTTGTCTGCTTTGATAAACTGAGGACGTGTATAGAATGCACACTCGCTCACACCCTCCGATACAACCGCACACCCCCATGCACTTTAAATGTGAAAAGTGCAGAGAACAAAGTAGGGGAAATAAAGTAGCCAAGTATAAGTTCAGATTGGGAGCGCTCAGGCAAGTCAAAAGCTCAACCATTAATACAAATAACTTGAGCTGAGCACAGAAAACGAATTGAGTCCTTTTTTTCTTTTTCCCTTATTCAAGTGTGTTGGCCTGCACGACGCTCCTTTATTTCTTGTGTAATCACATTTTTTTCCGGTAAGGGCTCACCTTGCTCCAGGGGTGGTGGTTTCACGCCTGCAGCCTTCAGCTTGAGGGCTTCTTTTGCAGACATATCACAGCAGGAGCCTTTGTTGGTGTCCTGGTCACTGTCAGCCTGGTCGCTGTCACCATGACCGCTGTCTCTGAGGCTTGCTCGCTCAGGGTCTTTGAATGTTGAACTACTACACAAACAAACAAATAAAAAAAAGGACTGTGAGTGCTGAGTGTGGTGGAGGATTTCTTAGTGGGTGTTTTTTAACCCTCCAAGGAAGTTTAGAGACACCATTCTTGAATGCCAAGCAAGGAACATTATTATAATGATTTAAGGATTTAGGATGTAATAAAATGCTTCTAAAAATACTGCACAAGCTTTGCTGTCTGCTTTGAGTCCAATCCTGTGTGTGATAATGTTCTAGTAACACAGAATATTTTTAGTGACCGACTTTCAAGCTAATTTAATGTACACGACCGTCTTCTTCCTTTTATTACTCACTACAGTTCATTGTCAGCGCAGTTAATGTTAAAGTAGTTTGTGGGGAATAAAATAAAGCTGAAAAAAACGAACAAACAAGGGTCTGATGTCTAGTCAAGGCCACAGATCTCAACCCTTACCTTTGAACAAACTGTTGTCTGCTACCCATATAATTAGGCTCCGTGGGGAAATTGTCCGTCTGTTGAGAAGAGAGAGAGACAAAAGTATGTTGTAAGCACGAAAGAAATGAGTCCTGCTGCGAAACAAGAATTCCTAGTGACATATGATTAATTATGCATAAAAAAATAAGGCAGAGGACAGATTAGGGGTGATAAAAGCTATAAAATTAAAAAAGGAGAACCCTTCATGGCCAAGATTTGAGCATTTCATTAACCACATAAGGCAGGCTAATTAGCCATTTGAGAGTAAACCACAGAGCTGAACATCAAATCTGGCAGACATCATATAATCAATGAGCGCTAGGACAACAGTCTTGATGAAAATAGAGAACATTGCCGATACGGTTCTGGAGTCCTAGTCGGACTGTTTGTGCAGAATTTAAAATGCTATTTGCTCCTTGTTCCTTTAACAACATCTCCACGGGAATCTGCTGACACTCTAAGAATATCCTGCACTTTTTTTTGTCCTTTCTATTTTTGTGCACAAAAATAAATTGTTTGTGAGGAAGCGCATCTTGCATGTGCTGGACCCTGTGGTGCTTTATTTCATATGGGTAACCCGATCGTACACAGGGGCCTTCTACTAACGTGAATCGATAGGAAACTAAAACACATGCACATGCTTTTACGCACATGGATGCAAAGAAACAGAATGACGTCTGTGATAAAGCATAGCAGTATAATGAAATACTGGTAGAAGCCCTACTGCATAAACAGGATAAAGCACCGTATCATTTGAAGTTTTACAGGGTAGATCAGTGTCGTGGTTTTGATCATGTTAAAGGAAAATCTTCAGAATTTCCAGAAATAGCTAAAGTTACAAAAAATGAAAAAAACTTGCAAGATATATAGACTTCTCAGCAAAAACACAAGGTGAGGGAAAGTTATATGCTTATATTTAGGCGAAATTATTGCGAGGATATAAACCAAGTCATGCTCAGGTAGGGAGGAATGGCGGAAACAAATGTCTTTGAGAGATATAGATTTCATAGTGTTGTAGCAGTATTCATCACAGCAACACAAATAATTACCCTGTGTTGTGCACAACTCTCTGTGTCTTGAATTCATGGTGGTTAAATGTCATGTTTAGTGAGTAATGTCTACTTGTGCCAGAGTTTTTCACATGCACAGCTTGACTCACAGTCGATAGAGTATTTCAATGTCATCCGTGCGCAGCGGTGGCTCGGTATGAAAAAGGGTGTGTGAAGGTCAGGCGGGCCACCTCAGTTCTTTGACCTTCCATGCTTTCACCAGCACCTTTATCTCTACCTAAACACTTTATTCCGCCTCAGCCTTCAACCAATACTAAAAGAAAACACCCACAGAATATATCAAAGACTGGAATCTGACCACGAAGTAAGGAGAAGAATGAATGAAATCGTTTGGCATTGAAATGATAACAGCCTGCGTTTTTTTTTTCTTTCTTTTTTTTGGAAAAGAGAGTTGGGAGTTTTTATATTGATGTGCCCCTTCTGTACTTTTATGACCAGGGTATCAACCTTGGGCATATTTTTCAATCAACTCAGCTCTGTTAGCACTGAGCAGGAGGAAAGGACATTAACAGAAAATAGTTTTCCTGCCGGTTATATGGTTTAATTTATTTTCCACACCTGTGCACACAAAACAAATAATATCCTTGTGAACAGAACTTTTACTTTTTCATTATTACAACAGACTCAAAAAGTTATTTTTTGTCATCCACATGGACCAAAAAACCTTGAAATGTCAACGGTCTGTTGTACATTAGCATTAAATTTGCTTTGATTAGCATGATGAATGGAAATGCACATCCCCATTGCACGGTAAATACGATGGTATTTTGTTTGGTTTGTTATCAAAAAGGGAAAAGAGACATTTCACACCTAAAGTACATGCTCCACCCCGCACGAGCCAATAAAAAGCACATTAAGCCACTTCATAGGACCCTGTTTCCTGCCAACTATTCCAGGCTGATCTTAAGGCTCCATCTCTTCCTGCCTGTCTGTACTGCCCAACCCTTTCACTACAATGGGCCCCTTTCCAATTAATGGGTCGATAATAGCCGGCACGAGATGCTTTGTACTGAGCCGGTCAGCGCCCGCAATGAATACAGGATAATCTGAGGGAAGGTGATAAAAAGTGGATCATGTCTGTTATCTTACTGTTATGATTTCTAGTAGTATTATTAAACGCTGTATCAAAGAGTTAATTAATTAGTTTAACATTACAAGTGCAGCTGACTGTTTCATACTGCGTGTTTCCCAAATGTGAAACCTCATGAAAGTGATCTGAATAAAAAGAAAAAAAAAATCTAAGTAAATTGAGTGGAACTAAACTGACCAAAACTGCAGTATCTGTATATTTGGCCTATGACGGTTAAAAATCTGACTCATTTACTGGCCTAAAATATGAGTTTTAGACCTTAAAGGCTCAGAGAAGCACTGAACCCATTTAACGCGAGATGAATTCAGTAGTTCTGGGTCGATCTACTTTGTGCAGATATGATCAGAGGTTAGGTTGTTTGGTAGCGTGGATGAAAATTGCAAAAGCATGTTGTCGATTTGAAGTGAATGATGCGTTGTATCTGCTCCATGTAGCAAGGCCACAGAGGTCAGAAAGATACTGAGTACAGTGAGGCTGAGTAAGTGTAAAAAGCTGCACTCTATTCTGTATTCCCATTCAGGTCCCAAGACTGACCGCTCAGACAGCCGGCCGATTGAGACAAATGGGACGAGCATATTGGAGTGCTATTCTATTCTCAGGGCATGCTGGTGCATTTTGGGGCACTCTTCATTTCTATGGGGCTATATTTGTGCATATCAGCCTATGTGTGTGTTTGCGTGTGTATTTGATATCTTAGGTAGGAATGGTGAACGAGGACAAATTGCAGATTCTCTTTCACACATCAATGGATTGCTCTCTTTTATTCACAGGAACAAGAGTACACCCCCTCCCTCCACCTACCCTGTTAGGTATGATACATGCATTTGTCCTTTACTGTCTGCCAGGAAAACACACACGCACACACAAACACACATTATTCTCATTCAGTGTATGCTTGTGAGCACATGCGTTTCTTCACATCAGGCAGTGCGAGTGGCTCCTACTCAACCCCTTCTCTGTAAGCTAAAAGATAAACCCTGTGTTATTATGCGTTGCTATGTATCTGAGTGACATCATTCCTACTGGAAAACTTAGAGCCGATTAGCTAAAGCTATACAGAAAAAAAAAACATGTAAAACAGAGAAAATTAAAGGAACCGATCATTTTTGTGCAGTGGAAGCTGGAGATACATGAAAACAAAACACACACAAAAAAAAAAACCAGAACGTTAGTAACATAGTAGCTCTTTCTGTTCATGACTCATCACAATTTAGAGGTTATTGTAATGTGTAAAGTGCAAACACAGAGTTACAGGTTTTGTTGTCTTTTGGCTATATTGCGCCCACCAATAAGAACTAAAATCCAGCGAGAAGTCAAGGAGGCTGCAAACAGCAATGTCCCCAACAAACTTATCTCATTTCACTAAAATCTGACCAATCCTGTAGGGGAGCAGTGATTCCTGTGAAGCAACAAATGCAACCTTGATTAATAAAGGCTAATTAGTTGATCATTGTGTGCAAGTTTCACCAACATCTTAACTTTAACCAGGAGGTAAAGTGATAGGAACAGGCAGACGGTGGACGCCTCGCCCATAAAAACTGAAAACGAAAGGCATAAAAGCAAAGTGAAAAACATCTTAAGAAAGGGGTGGAGACAATAATTACACTGCAATGATAATCAACTGGCTCAGATGCACAAGGGGTCAGATCAACTTAACATCCAAATATCTTCCTAGAGACAATCAACCAACCAATCAATCAGTCGTCAGTTAAGTAAGGCTCTTACTTAACTTCTAAATAACCTAAAAGGGGTCCAGTCCAAACAAGTAAACCAATGACAACTCAACAACCACAGTTAGCCCGTGTGAGTCTAGATACTACTTTAACATTGTTTCAGCAACAAACTGGTGATTTGTGCAAATGGATGTTTAGTGTAAAGAAAGGCCTCTTTTTGCTATGTGATACAAAAAAAAAACCCCACTGGACTGTTACTTTCTGTGACTAATCTCAAAGAGAAGGTCGTCCGATATAACACTGCAAATTTAAAGGTTTTTTGATACATTTTTTTTATTTGTTTTTTAACTACCAAGCACACAGGTAATGGTGAGTGACCTGCAGGCTCTGTGTGTACATAGTCTAATGAACAAGGAACAAGAGAGAATAAAAACAATCATAATACACCAACGATGGCAGAGCCTTTCACCATATCAGACTCAGGTTATTTTACACTAGAGTTCAGGTTTCAGGTTTCTCCACCACAGACAGAAGAAGCAGCGCTCGCAGCATCAGAGAGGGGTGCATATCTGCAGCATCCCCCTTCCACGAGCACGTTGTGCGAGTGCTACGCATTACAACTCTGCCACAAAGCTTCCACCTTTTTCGACAGCATTCCGCGTGCCGCTCTTCCCTCGACACCACAGAGACTGGCAGTGGAGGAGGAAATAGCTTCACTCCTGAGTAAGGAAGCAATAATGACAGTCCCTCAGCCAGAGGCACAGAGGGGCTTTGTCTCCAGAGTTTGGTGCTTTAAAGTCATTTACAGCATTATGTCTGAAGAAATGAGGCACTGCATTCAAAAAAAATTTCAGTAAAAAATTACAATTTCAGATGAAACGAGATGCATTTTGTATGCAGATACAGTCATCTACAAAACCGCCCTCATTAATATAGTCAGAACGATTAAATCTTTACTAATAGCGCTCCTTCAGTTATACAGAGAAGCTTCTTATAGTTTTACACATTACTACGCAAAATGTCATACCCTCCCTCCCCCCTGGTAATGGGCTGCTCTAATGTATAAACATCATCATAAAATAGTCTTTGAAAGAAGAATTTTTCACATTAAGACAATTTTGGATTTCAAGGTGACATGGCATTCTTTAGACATATGTGGCGCAGGCACGATACGCAGGCTGAAAATATGCCTTTCGATAGGACTA